AATACCCCCAACCAGCCAAGCTGAATAGCACTGGCTGCAGGACTAGAGCTTGGCCCTAATAAGATTTAAGTTTTTCATCAACATTTATACAGTTTAATTACTTAAGCTGGATCCAAAGAGCATGTGTACACACACACAAACCTACACAAGTCTTGTGCATTACATTACTTAATACCAACTAAGTGACAAGCCAAGAACATAATATTCACACTACAAACAACATACACAAAGGTGTAGTTATTTTGGCACATATGCAAGGCTGACAGTCAGTTAAGAGGACACATACCAGTGCAACATTATATTTGCTCTATCATGAAGGTAAAAGGTTTGCTCTTGGCCAGTACAAACGAGAATTCTTAGTCACAGATGACAGGCACATGCCCCCAGAATACATGCATCCCTGAAGGCAGGTTTATGTTTTGACTATCATACATGCAGGCACAAAGAATTAAAATTCATTTCATAACTATGAAAACTCTTAAGGAAAAAACCTATCAATTACAACTTTAAAGTTTTGTTTTTGGAGGAATATACATGAGGATTTTCTCTACAGATGGTTACAGATGGCTGGGATACCTATCACTTGCAAGTCAAACACATGGTAGTCATTTGCCTTTTTGTTCTGCCTAATTCCAGCTACTATAAAAATATTAATTGAGACAACAGAGGGGAAAAAAAGGATGACTTCATGAACAAAGTGATGGTACTTTCTGAACAAAGCTTTGTATAATGCTAAAAAATTATCAGACTTTATAATTTAATTGTCAGAATTTTTAGTTTAGGTAGGGTCAGTAAAATACATACTTCAAAATATCTTTGAAAGACAATCTCTGTGCTGATGAAAAACACAAGTTGTGACACTTAAGTAGTTTTCAAATCTCCCTTTCCCTTTCCTAAATGAAAAGGAGGTAAGAAGTATTATAGTTTTAAAAAATAGGGGCTAAATTTTGGCTATAGTCTAATATTCAACATTTCCCTTGGGATTCCAAATATTTGACTACAATTAATTACAACTGTTCATATAAGACCCATGAAACTATGTTTTTTAATGTCTGCTTCTCAGTAATGCTGTTGTGATAGCTTTGGTAACCACAAAGAGCAGGACAATCATTTTTGGTTTTGATATTTCCATACTAATGGTTGTAAAACTCCCAGCAAAACTCTCAACTAAAGCTCATGGAGTGACTAAACAGAGTAAGTAAGCAAGTCCTAATAAAAAAATCCCTTTTGACTGCTACATATTTTACTTAAAAATGACATTATTTTTAGAAAATTATTTGTAATGACTATTCATTTGCCTCAGTAAGGATTTTAGTTTCTTGCCCTCAGTCTTGTCAGGTTTTGACGGTCAGGTTAAGCTTCAGTAGAAACACAGGTAAGAACTGTGTACTGACACAGTATTTAAATGAAATTTGAGTCTGTTCTTTAAGGCAGTTATTTCTAAAAGCTATCTGACTTTCTGATCACATTTCTTTTGGTAGCATCTACTGTAGTAATGAAAGCAAAGATAACTAGGAACAACAGGTTTTTATAGAAGATGTCACATAAGACAGTGCTATGTAGTGGAAGATGCTGAAAATTTAGACTGAATCAATTAAGATGCTCCCCAAAAAAGAGAGGACAATAAACCTTATTAGGTTCCCATGTCCTTACTTCAGACATGACATTTAGTTACAGTCTACAGCATGGTGCACTGGAAGAGAATATGCTCAACAACACTCTTAAGGGCTGAAAATGGGGCACGTCCTCAGCTATCCCTTCCTGTCATCTTTGAGGTATAAGCTGTACTTACTGTCCTGAGAGTTGAGGGAATAGCAGATGAGTAAGAAAATGTACTTTGCCTCATTCCCAAGCAGGCCTGGAATTTAAGAGCAAATAATCAAGCAAGTATTCAGGCTTTTAATTTCCTACCAATATTAGTGGAATAGTAAGAGCTTAAGTAGGTAGTGAACCCGTAACACACAGCTGCATAAGATGCTATTATTCATAGCCATTATCTTTCACACCAAGCACAGTAAAAGAGAAAAACCTTTACTAAGTACTATCATCCCAGCAACAACTTTTTAACTGTCAAATCAGAATGACTTCATGTATCACTTTGAGGTTTAAAACTATCAGACTGTAGAAACAAAGAAGAAAAAAGAAGTGTGTTCTTCAAAATAAAATACTGCTATCTGAACCATCTTCTCAGGTTCTGATCCCAAGCTTACTATGCCATTGAAAGAATTACAAATATTGCATCAGGTACCAGTAAAGTGCTTTGGTTCATGGCAGGGATTTTATACTGCACAAGCAATGCCAAGTAAACTCTGGCAGAACCTCTGATCGTTCCATCAGCCTCTTATAATTCAATTTCTAGACAGTGTTAGCTTGGATCTGTCCACACTTGCACTCCCTTGCATGCCTTCTTATGAGTGTGCTGATCTCTCTCTCACTTTGAATCAAGAGGTTAAAACCTAATAATATCTTAAAATCTTCCTAACCAATCACTCCTCCTGTACAGAAACATTCTGGCATTACAGAATCTGTATGTGGGCGCCTGAGAAAGCCTGTCTTTTGTGTACCTAAAAGCAAAGTGTCACCCAATGTAATGACAATAGCTAGCAACAAACAACCAGATCAACAGTGTGCTCTTGGACTCTGCAGTAGGCTGGACTTCACCCTTTAGTGAGGCTGGGTCCCGAACTTTTCAGTTAGCAGTGAGTTATTAGTCAAGCCTTGAAGTCAAAAGGAAAAACAGGGACTGATTTTGCATGTAACTCAGCAGAAGGGTTCATCAAGGGCTGTAGGCTCAGCCTTTTTATTCATTAAAAGAAATCAGGACTACACTGGAGCCATCTTCAGGTGCACAGGCACCAGTGACAAAGAAGGCTCTTTACATTTAGACAGTTTACTACCATGCCAGAATAACTTAGCCACTGTTGGTATCAAGTATCCTATTTTCTGCTTTGGAGTATGACAGGTCTCCAGTGCAACACAACAGAGGATAACCTTTCACTCTTCAAGAATACTGGGTAATTCTTGGAAAGGGTTCACAAAGCTGAACACTTTGCATCCTGAGCATCTTTACATACACCTAAACTCTTCACAGGTAACCAAAGCCATCCATGGGAAAAGCAATTTAAATCTTTACAGGAGCATGTGCTGTGTTTTGGCAAATTTCCCTCCCGCTTAAAAACAAACATCAAAATGAATTATAAACAAACAAAAGGATGTCCAAGTCCACAAGGAAGCCCTTGCCTTTTGTTTGCTGTTGTTGTTTTTGTTTTAGGCTTATGTACGGGCTCGAAGGGTCACTGAAGACAAAGTTACAGGACAGGCTACCACACAATGTCAGCAGAACAGAACATGAACAGTTTAAGGGCTGAAAATCAGTGATCCCTTTCCATACATTGGTCAAATACAGACTGTTTACCTGCACGGCACATGACAGCTCAACCACATTTATGTACTCTCAGTGGGATGCTGGTATGGGTGGAGGGAGAGCAATACATCTATTAGCCTTTATTAAGAGTTTAGCATGAAAATCAGGGCACAAGCTCTTTTTGAAAGAAAGCAAGGCAGAACTGCAAAGAGCTGGTTTGGAATACTGAACATCCTAGCTTTCATAACTTTAGTGAAACAGAGTAATACATCAAGGTAATACTTGTTCAGCTCTTGCAGAAAATTGGAACTGCCTTTTCTCTCCTTTTCAACCAATATTAAAAAGAAATTATTTTTATTCCAATTAATTTCTTTTGGCATTCTGGACCCCAGTTAGGTCACACTCAGCTGCCTGTACCTTAAACCTGTGGGACTGGTTCTCCTGGTAACATTCCCAGCAATACTATTACTCCCAAGTCTGGTAGCAAAAGTGGACAGAGAATCAAATCCCTTGGATTCAAATGAATCTACCATAATATGTATCTCAGTTATAATGATTTGCTGGGTTTTTTTGGCGGGAAAATTGCACCTAATTACATAGATATTAATTGTAAATGTCCTTACTCCAAGGGGCCATAAGCTTTCCTTACATATGTTAGAGCTTAAAGGGATTATGTGTCAACATATGTGCAAAACAATGTTCATTTAATAGGAATCTGATTGGCAGTGTTAAGTCATAAAAAATATTTTAAAGCATTATTAGCTTAATGCCTCCTTCACTTGCAGTGTGAGGCACTGCAAACTTGAAAACAGACTGTGAAAATCCTTAACTATACTTTCTCAGTAATGTCTTGTTCCTCACCTCTCCAGTTAGTACAATAGCTCCATCCAAATCCAGCCAGTCAGAACCATGCTACAGTACACACAAGAACAAGCACAAAGTATAGACAGGAGGAAAGTAAGAGCAGGTATTTTCCAACTCTTTCGGTTGACACAAAATACTTTAGAGCCTATATTGTCCTAGAAATAGCTTTTTTTTTTTCAGTTTTCCAATGAGTGATATATGACAATCACAGGTTAGAACCTAGTATAGTACTACCACTTACTTCCCAATAGTTTATTGTTGAATGTTTTAAGAAAAGTGCTAGATCCCATATAAGACATTTTAAAAAACCCTAAAACAATAGTCAAATTAAACTGCATAAGTAATGGGATATTCTTCAGAAAGACTGCTACAAAAGATCCTCTTTTCAAGTGATTCTCTTTGACATCATCAGGGCAACTGAACACCGAGGAATGTTTGAGATATTTTGCTTGAATTGACAAAGTGTGGTATAACTTCTCTTGACTTTGGCTTTGTTGTTTGTTGGTTTGGGTTTTTTTCCTAAAGCTCAACAAAATAATGTATTTTTTATACCTACGTATTTATTTATTTTTGCCAATATATGCATGAGGAATGTAATGAAGTGGCATTGTGCTGCAAGTAGCTCAGCAGATGTTGAAATCAGTTCCAGTTCCTGAAGACAACTTCTTGACAACATAGTCTCAACATTCACAATAACTGAAACATGTGGGATTCATAACATCATCCTTACAAATATATACTCTATCTCTGTGTTGTAAACCCTCAGCCTTACTTGTTTCCTTGTACTTTATGATCGTATGTGCCTGCATGCTTATAACCAGATACATATCCTGAGTTATCCACCAGATCTTCTCGGCCAGCTCTGCCTTTTCCTTTCCCACTTGCATCAAACCTCTCTTTGTGAGAACCCGTGAATTTTGAAGTATCTGTAAGGCGTGAAACAGTTGGAGATGCAACAGTTTTCTATTGGGAAAAAAAAAGAAACAAAACAAAAAAGACATATCAGAAATCAGCTATTCTTAATACAGATATTTTTACATGCTACCAATATTTAAATCTTTGCTAATGACAAAGACTACGCAAATACCTACTTCTTCCCAGAAATAGGATACAAAAGATATTTGTTTCTTGCCATTAAATACAATGACAATAATAATATAGCAGAAAAGGAAATAGCACAAATTATGTCAAAACCTTTTGGAAGAGACTTTCAGTATGAGATACTTTTAATTAATAATCAAGTTCTAAGCACCAATGATACGAAGAAGTTTCATCTTGATTTCGTATTTTGGACCGTGTTCAAAATCCATTACGTCAACATGAAAGTATAAAAGCCTGGCTCCACCAATATAGAAAAAGTATTCCAATACAACTAGAATACATTGCTTCAAATGACAATTTAATTCTAAATTCTAGGATTCATGAGAGAAGTAACAAACTGGAAGAACTGAAAGTAAGGTCTAATATTAGGAAATTAGCAGTCTATGAAATGGCACTGAACAAAGACGTTTCTTCCACTGAGTCAGGCTCTTCAAAAATCAGTTTTGTTGTCATTGAGACAAAAAAAAATTTGACTACAGAAACAAAACAAAAAATTATTTCACATAACAATATAGAAGCATGATAATCTCTGTGCTTGAACTAGGAGCAGCCTCTTTGATCCTTCAAAGTATATTTTAATTTTATTTATTTATATTAATTAATTAAATTATATTTTAATTTTATTTGTTTATTTAGAGTCAGGTGAAGAAAAAACACACTAGACTTTTGAGCTAAAATGAACAAAGAACGCTAAAATCTGGGCATTTTTTATGTGCACCACCTGTCACTATCTGAAAGAAAAAGATCACTGGAGCATTCTTTGCTCAAAACAGCATTACTAAATGACCTTTCGGGGCTTCTGTCTTGTAGTCTTAAGAGTACTATTCGCAGAGGTGGAATAGTTTCTATACTGAAAAAATAGGCATCAAGACAATGCTTAGGAAGAAGTACTGGTCTAATACATACAGTTTACTTGCTCACATGGACCTGGTAGCACCATTTAACCAGGAAAACTCCAAATACAAGACAAGGGCAATATATTCAAGATGGAGTTAATTAAATCATATTTGCTTTCCTTGTATTTAAAAACCATTACTTGATAGAAAATCACTTTTGTCTACACTTGCATATACTCTCTACCATCACATCCACAGAGAAATCTCAGAAACTCTAGTTGACTGCCCTTTCCTTTACCTAGTTCATTCTCAGGAAAGCCTGCTGTTCTGAGAATTTGTAATGGTAAACTTAATCACTATTTGAAAAAGAAAGACTACAGCTTCTGCTCCTCTGTTTCAAAGGTGTGGCATGAAATGTATGAAGTTTTCCTCAGTACACAAACTACAACAAAAACATATGAGAATTTTTGTACAGCAATGTATTTAGTAACATACTAAATACTAGTAACATAAATAAAACTTGTGTAAATGGATAGAAATGCACACATATTAACAGGTAAGAAGAAACAGTAAAACAAGGACTAATAAAATGGGTCATGTCAACAATAAAGGACGTTCCCAGAAAACTATTCCTAGTGGTAAACTTGAGAAATGTGGTGTTTATATCAAGACACCTGCATTCTGATAAGACCTCAACACACATGACTTATAAGGTGCATCTTTACAAGACAGCAGTGTGCCACACAAGCCCTTCCTTTTCCTATTAATATGTAGACATGTTTCTAACCAACGAAGAAAATGGAGGATGGGCAACAGCTTGGCAGGTTAAAAAATATTATATTTTTGTCCCAAAAAACAATTAAGCAAAACCTAAAACCACATGGAACACATGGAGCACATGGAACAGCACAAATCCCGGGCAAGAGCAACAGTGATCTCACATCAGGTGGTCTTTCATCCCAAGATGGATCAGAATGCTTCCTGCATCACAGGAGTCATAATATGTGAAAAGAACATTAAAGGCAGTAGCTGCAAGGCAAACATTTTTTCTCTAGATTTTTTTTTTACTGAGTAAGAACTGCAGCCTTTTCCTAAGTTGTATGTCAAGTCACTGATGTGCCCCTTCCCACATATGACAGATTATTACAATTGAAATCCTGTTGATTTGCTCTTGGCAAAATTCCTACAAAATGGGAGGCTCACCTTGTTTCCAACAATACAAAATCCAAGCAGTGTTAATTCCCTGCACATTATGCTCTCACTCCCTGAACTGATGTATCTATATAAAAGATCAGAGATGAGATGCCACTACAAGGATATGCAGAACACCTTATTTCTCCTTTTCCTTCTTTGTTATGATGAACATGTATACATTAAAAAGAAAATATTCCTTTTTTTTTAAGGTGGGGTGAACATTTTTAAGGTTGTGCTAAGATGTTTTCATTCAAAAAAGTATTTGTAAATACAGAATAGAATATACAACAACTTCATACCCATCCTGGGCTCCTCAACCACAAGCAGCTAGTGGTATTTATATCACAGAATCATAGAAAAGTCCTGTTACTGAGCACTACTGAAAAAAAGCCTTGCTTCATCATCACTGCACCCTCCCTTCAGGTATTTATATACATGGATATGGGATTCACCCTTGAGCCTTCTCTTCTCCACATCACACAGTCCCAGCTCTCTCAGCCTTTCCTCACAGGATATATGCTCCAGTCCCTCCATCATCTTTATGGTCCTTTTCTGGACTCTCTCCAGTAGTTTATCAGTCTTCTCCAGGGAACCTAGAACTGAATGCAGGACTTCAGATGAGATTTCACCAGTGCTGAGCAGAGGGGAAGGAACATCCTGTTTGCCTGGCAATACTTCTAATGCAGCTGAGATACCAGTAACATTCCATACAGCAAGAACACCTCTCTCGTTCATGTGCAGCTTGGTGTCTGTGAGCACTCCCAGGTCCATTTCAACCAATATCTCCTTTCCATCTGCATGGCCCCCTGAACGTACTGGTGAATGGGGCTCTTCCTCACCAGTTGCAGAACTTTGCACTGCTTGCTGAGCTTGCTGAAGTTCCTGTCAGCCCAGATCTCCAGCCTGTGAGGTCCCTCTGGATGGCAACCATCCCATCTGGATGACCTATCAGGCACTCCTCCCAGCTCTGTGTCATCAGTAAACTCACTGGAAGTGAGTTTACTGATGACACACCCAATCATGAAGATGGTTAATGAAGATGATAAACAGGACTCAACTCAGTAAGGACCCCTGGGGTACACCACTGTTTTCCAACCTCCAACTAGACTTTGCACTGTTCATCAACACCCTCAGGGCCCAACCATTCAGCCTGTTTTCAATCCACATCCAGCTGCTACAGCATCAGCTTGAGGAGCAGTGAGACTCTTGTAAGAGACCACATCAAAGGCCTTACTGAAGCATGGGGTAGACACTGTACTACTCTCTTCTTCCCTTGTCTACTTGGGTAGTCATTTAATTGTAGAAGTTTACACGTCAGTCAAGTACAACTCTGCCTTGGTGATCAACCATGCTGATTACTTCTGATGACTTTCTTTTCCTTCATGTGCTTGGATATGATTTCTAGGACTAGCTGTACCATTACTTTCAGTGTCTTAACCTGAAAAGTTTATCATAAAGATTCTTCTATGAGCTGATGACTTATTTTTAGTGAACAGCCTTTATAAACTGAATGTGCAACCAACTGTTCTTATCAAAATGTTTTTTTTTGTTTCTGAACATAACCAACTATGCAGATTAAACTGGCTATTGAGCAAAAGGCAAAATCAATAGAAAGGGTGGCTGTGAGCTCATTCTCTACAACCCATCTGCTCATTATTGCACAAGGGTATGGGGAGGCAAATAAAAAAAGTGGGGGGTGGGGGGAGAAAGCTGACCATTCTTCTTAAGTGAAGAAAAATGTAGGAAGAAATGTAATGAAGAGCACAAAGGGCTGGATGAGTTTCCACAATAGCAAGTTAGTCTCTCCCTTCTTTTTCACAGTGAATCGCATAAAAATGATTCTGCCATGTCATACAGCAATTCTGCTTGAACTGTTTACTATCTAGAGTAAGTTATATAATCTCTCTAGTTACATTATTCTAAAGGCAATAAATTCCTTGGGGCCAACCTCCTCAGTTTTTTTTTTCTCTGAGACCACAGAAGCCTTCATTTTCCATCTCTTATTTGCACATACAGTTAACCACAAAGTTTGCATATCACAGAAGGTGCCCATGAACTTCATTTTTTTTTTTATTTTAAAAAAACTTTGTCTTAGGAAGAAAGTTTTACTAAGCACAACAGAATCAAACATAATCATTTATTCTCCCAAATTGAGTTTATTCATTTTTTTTGGCATTTTTTCTTCAAAATTCAGTATTTTTCCTCACTTTGTGTTAGTGTCTACAAAGAAGTGCTGCTAAGACAGCAAGGGGCTTGGAGCATGTGACATACATGGAAAAGATGATGGGCATGTGTTTATAAAGACTCAGAATTGAAAAGGGAGAAACAAATCTTTTTCCTGTCCTCAAGAGAGTGGTTATATTAGAAAGAGAGACAGTTTAGAAGTAAACAATAATGGGCATGATTTGGAAAATACGAAATTCCAACTAGACACGTGAGAATTTTTCACCACTGTGGTTGGTCAAGCCACAAGAGCTGGATTCTCTTTCCCTGAGGATTATCAAAACTTAAAATGACCAAGTTACAGAACAAATTAGGTTGGAAAGAACCTTTGAATATGAGTTTTTATCTAGCATAAGCCCCGCTCCCAGCAAAGTTCAAAGAGGCTTACATAGAAACTTCTCCAGTTAAGTCCTGAACACCTCAGAAGTCCCACAGACTCCATGGGCAACTTATTCCAGGGTCTGACCACACTGCAGGTAAGCAAAAAAGCCAAAACAGTCCTAAATCTCATCTAAATTCCCTATTACCAATAGTCCAACTTCTGTCTGAAGCAGCCCTCTTACCAGACAGGAAGTGAAAACTGTTGTGTTTAAACTCTAGAAACCTTAA